AAGAGAAAGTAGAAGCTATAATAATGTTATTTTTCTACAATTATTATCTGTTATTTTTGGATCATAATATAAATTTTAAAGGCGCACATTTTAAAATGCATTTCGTCTCATTAAAGGCCATGATGAGAAGTCACCCACATTTTAAGCATTGAAATACTAGATGTTATTCGCAGTGTGAGCGTTTTTCATCCTATTTCCCCTATTTTCTCCTCCACCCAGTTTTAAAGTGGCTAAAAAAAAAGTCTTCATTAAATAACTTGCACATTGCGTGTGACCTTTACGCTTGACGAAAATGCCTCCATAGCTATGGGCCTTAAAGTAAAAGTATGGACCGTCCATACTCCCCAAAACACTGTGTGTTGTAATGTTTTTCTTTCGATATGTGGAATAAAAACATACTCACAGATTAACACAATGCGCTGGAAGACACGGAGAGTCCGTTTTGGCACTGAACAGAAGGCTATGGACACACACCTCACACACACTGCGCACTGCCTGCTGCAATAAATGATTGGGTAGAGGCTCGTTGGCTCTGAGACTTACAAACACAACGGAGACGGTCAAAGCCACATGGTCTGGACTTCTAGCTACACGGTCTGATGGAAGATCTAAAAAGTGTTGTAGTGTTTAATATACAGTGGTTTTATATCTATAATATCAGAAAAATAAAATAAAGTAAAAGCAATTATGCCAATAATAGCATATAGTGCTAAAATATAAAGCTTTGTAACTGATTTCCCTCCCTACACTTGTGTTATTTATAGATTACGTTTGCTTTATATTTCTAATGCAAAACCCACATGCTACCCAAGGTCAGTTCTGAACAATGGAGCTTCTAAATACATTTTTGTTAGACATAGTAGACATATTAATTATGTATACACCTAGGATCCAAACAGGCTAATATAAATGTATAATTACATAAAGAAAGGTGTTCAGATGCTGCAGACGTGTGATAGCTGTTTTTCCTGTTTGCATATACGAAGGGCTTAGCTTGAATTGTTTTCAAACTGTTGCTACAAAGCCTTGGTGGCTCCTCCAAAGTGGTAAATTTAGAGCGCACTGAGCGTGCGCGGCTGTCATTACATGTCATTACAAGATGGAGATGATGCCGCTGTAAAGCTTTCATTGAAATATTCCAGCGGTGCTTCCACAAATGTCTTTTCCGTGAGCTATAGGGCAGGGAAGGCGAGAGAGGAGTTCCCATTGCAGCGGAGAGCCAATGAAGGAGCTTGCCTCGCTCACATGAGTTTCTCTGGACAGTTTTTAATGACTGATATTGATGTATGGTAATTTCTCAGTTGGATCACATGACACAATTACCTCAAGAATCGATCAAGATGTATTGCAGGTCTGCCTACGTTTCCGATTTTTTCTGCCTGTCGAGGTCTGTGCGCGCGTCTGTGCTGCTATAGATGGACAAAGTTTAACACAGTCAAGCTGCCAATTCCACAGGAGGAAAAGGGACGAGATATGACGGAATACGATGATCGGAACTGCGCGTCAAATATGTATTTACCAAGCTGTACTTATTACGTTTCGACGCCTGATTTCACATCAGTCTCGTCGTTTTTACCGCAGACCACTTCATGTCAAATTAATTTCCCCTATTCTCCCAACCTAGCCCAAGTCCAACCTGTTCGGGAAGTGGCTTTCAGGACTGACTATGGACTCGAGCACCCGAGCAAATGGCACTATAGGGGCAATTACGCGTCCTACTATTCAGCGGACGACATAATGCACCGGGACTTGATCCAGTCCTCCAGCAGCAGGGCAGACGTGAGATTCAAAAACGAGACGCTGTACGCTCACCACGGCGGAACGACCTCTTCGTGCGCAAATTTCTTCACCGGCGTTGGCCGAAATGGGGTTCTCCCACAAGGCTTCGACCAGTTTTTTGAGGCTGCAAACTCGGAGAAAGCAACCGCAGAGCTGTCTAGACAAAAGGGCACAGAGTCACCAGGGGAACCGGGCAATAATACACAGGCTGTGCCCAAACAGGAGCAGCCGGATAAGGCAGAGACGAGCGGGAGCGTCGACGAAGACTCTTCCTCCAACTGCGGCGACAAGAGCAGCCAACAGGGTGAGTGTGTTCCGGCCGTGCTCACAGCAAAGGTGTGTGTACGACAGGGCTCCAGCTCTGCGCGCGCCCAGGGTTATGTGGCGCTTTATAAGCATGCAAAAGCTTTTATATACCAATAAGAGTAACTTTACGGTTGTAAAGGTATTTACAATGGGAAAGTGTGCATGAACCATTAGGCACTGTAAGAGGAATACAGAAACTATTCCATGGCAAAATATAAAACCATAAATATATGTTAAAAGTGTGTTTTAAGTATTGTGACTGCAATAGGTCCTAAAGGTCCATTTGGCAATCAAAGTTCCCTATGTGGCTGAATCCTTTGTTCTGGTTTGAGCGCCCTTATACATGCAATAATTTTAGGTTTCAACCTTCTACACCTTATTATTTCCAGTGCGTAAAATGTCAATGGACTGCAGGTACATTACAAGATCATTGAATATCGATTTGCCATCCAATCCAAAATAAATAGTTACACACCAGTGGTACAATTAAGTATACATAGATGTTATTCTTTGTCTGAATAACATGGGATCTTGATAAGATGTACTGCGCGTATTGCAGTAATTCATGGATATTAATTTAAGATAGTGTGGAAATACAAAATATAGGCTATATCTATAACCTATCAATCCCTATGAGCATAAGACTGAGATGCAACAGCGTGTGTTCTTATCAATTAGAAATCAACATTACAATTCTGATTTCGGCTTTTAACACACAATATAATCCCTTCTATTTCAGGTCTACCAACGAAGTCCAGGAAGAAAAGGTGCCCATACTCCAAATACCAAATCCGAGAACTTGAACGAGAGTTTTTCTTCAACGTGTACATTAACAAAGAGAAGCGACTGCAACTGTCCAGGATGTTAAACCTGACTGATCGCCAGGTGAAGATATGGTTTCAGAATCGGAGAATGAAGGAGAAAAAGCTCAACCGCGACCGCTTGCAGTATTTCACGGGGAACCCTTTATTCTGATAGGGTTCACTGTTTCACACTACCCTATAAACACACAGGCCTCTCAAGACTGCTCCCTTCTCATGTCGTAACAAAGGTACTTTTCTCAAGCCAGCATTTATTTATTAGTTTGTCTCCTATATTTTTGCGTTAATCAACATTATTTCGTCATATAGGTGTGCTTTGAGATTATTTATGAAAATATACTCTTCTTGTATATGTGCATTTTACAAACGCATGTAATGTTGTGGAGTGAAATAAAGTAGACACGACAATTGCTGGTTTCTATAGTTGCAGAGTGTGTCACGTGCCGATGAAGCGCAATAGTTTCCAAAATCCGAAAATTGGGAATTTCCATCATTGGCGCTTTAGGCCAATACAGTGCCGTTATTTCCTTTGCGTTCAAACACTGGATTGTTTACTAAACCTTGAACTGTCTAGACAGTATAATAAAAGTAGCTGTAAATGTCTAAATAGGGGGCTATTGGACTTTGGGATCCCAGCCCCCAAACCATGAGGGGACGACTGCTTCTCTTTCCTGTCCCATAGTAACTCTAGGCTACAAATATTGGATACATCGGATCCCTCTTGCTTAAATTTAGCTGACTGGGCCTATATATAGGATACATAAGGAACGATAGGAGTGCCATCTTTGTGGAAACGCCTTTCCTGTGTGAAGTGATGTAGATACATTCTAAAAAAAAAAAAAAAAAAGATAAAAAAGTGGCCTATGCAAAAATTACATTTGGAAATTGATCATTTAAAGAGCTAATAGTATAGAATACAAAACCGAAACCTTATATTATACAATAGTACACCAAGGTTTATGTATAGTATGCCTAAACCTTAACCAGGAATCACCAAGGCTTATATTTAAACAAGGTTTAAAATAGCAGCACGCACTCAGTAGTGTGTAGCCTATATAATGTCTAAACCTGCAACCCCCCAAAAAATAAATACAAAATAGAACATAGCCATGACACAAATTGTCACGGACATTTGCCACATTGAGCTTTAAAGTATTTCACTAAAAATACAATGTTGATTTTTATTATTTTCCCCATGTGACAGAGCGAAGGTTTACTTTAATTAATATTTGTCTAAAATCTTTATTACAATGAAGACTAGTCTATAAACTGTTTTGCAAAACTGCGGTCTGGGATATCTCAGCCTACACAAAAATACACTCCTTTTGCGTCAGGTTCATGCTAAAATGTTGAAACAATACATGTAAAGTAGTTTCTATCTATCACTCTAATTTCCTGTACGACTTTTAGAACGGCGAGGCTTCATTAAGCGTCTAACTGTTGTTATCGTGTCCTACAGTGAAAAGACATTACCAACTGTGCAGCCTTCACATTTGATACTCGTTTTATCCACATGAGGGCGGACTTGCAGCTCCTTTTGGGCTCAAACTGAACACTGCTGAGGCTGACATCACAAGCAGCCAAACAATCAATGCTTTTATTTTTACCTTAATTTCGGCTCCAAAGAAACCTACAGCGTACAGTTTGTCGCATTTTAACATTTATGGTTGTTTTGCACAGTAGCCTGGGCAATCTCAAGTTAGATTTATCACGATGGAGCTCGAGCCATGTGATTTTGTTTTAAGACCAACATTGTTTAAACACCGGCGGCTTTAAATTAATTTGTCCTCCTCTTTGTAATTAGAAATTACACAGACTGTGCACTGCGGAGTGTGTTGTAAAGGCTAACTTGATGATTTTCTTAAAACCACACATAGCGTTAATACACAGGTTATACTGCTGCTGCTGCTGTTGCTGCTACTACTACTACTACTACTACTCCTACAAAAACAAAAACAACAATAATAATAATAATAATAATAATAATAACAGCTATTGTACTGGGCCAATGCGATTACGCGTAAATACGGTCAAAAATAATTCATGGATTGTAAACAGTAGGCCTATATGTCGGTTTTCTAATTCTCTTTTTTTCCTATCTTTTCCTATCTTGCCAATTTTTTTTTATCTTTTAAAAAAAATGTTTATTATTATTATTTATTTATGTATTTATTTATTTTTTTAACCTAATTACAATAACTTGTGTATGTTTTGCTTTACCGCAGCATTTGCCTTTCTCCACCTTGAAAAGCTTGGTGACACCAAGTTTTAAAATGTGTATTTTGCACGAACACAACAGAAGCTGCTTCTCCGGTGTTTTCTGCGTTTATTTGTGTGCCTCTAAAGTAGTCTCCTCCACTCCGTTGCGTCAGTCTTTCTGCTGAAGCCTTATTTTGTCGCAGAGAAAAACAAAGAATCCCTGAACAAAATTATAGCCGCAAATCCCCGGCTTTACACTGAGGAATGTAGGGGGCAAATTGGACAAAAACATAGCATATTCGAAAAATAAATAAAGTAATAATAATAATAATAATAATAATAATAATAATAATAATAATAATTATTATTATTATTATACATTCTGGTTGCTTGCGTAAAAATCAGGTTGCTTGCGTAAAATTTACATTCACGTGCACACTTGTCATGACTTGTCGTGTCTCTCCATTATTATAATTCAAAAGTCTAGATATAATTTAGGCATTAATTTATTGCAATACAATGTTAAAACGTTTATCTTCCAAAGTACATTCTTTGACAGATAAATACATATAGTCCAGTCAAGTGTTGGTGCGTAAAAAGGAAAAGGAAAAAAGAACACATTTTAAAAATGTTTTCAGAGCTCCTTTACTGAAAGAAGGAGCCATTATTGGCTGCTCCATTTAGTCAACATTTTAACACAAACACTAATAATTTCTCTGATTACGCTCAATGCGCCTTTTACGCACAAAAAAGATGGTCTAATCCAACAACTCCATTGTTATCAAGATGACGATGCCTAATAAAAAAATAAAGAACATTGTTTCAAAAGTTCCATACTGCGTGCTATTAGTCGCATTTTGTCTCCCACGTTTGTTGTGATGGTTTCGCAGCCTTTGTGCATAGTGTCACTACCAATTCCAAGTCTAGGTGTCGCTGTTGACCACGTTTACATCCGCAGTCTGAAGGGCGCGCGCCTGTGCGTGTGTGTGCAGCGGAGAGGAGGCTGCGTCTCAAGGCCATTTTCAAATCTCATTGGTGGGCTTGTCATGTGGTCGGGAGGCATCCCGACTTACTCGGAGATTGTTTTTTCCGAGATATGTCAGCTTACAAAGGACATCTCTCTCCTTCATAGAACCTAACTTCCCAAAATGTCCTTCCCCAGCGGCTCTCCTGCGGCCAATACGTTTCTGGTGGACTCGATCATTGGCGCGTGCAGGACGGACAGTTTCTACTCCAGCAGCAACATGTACATGCCGTCTGGTTCAGAGATGGGAACTTACGGAATGCAAACCTGTGGACTCCTGCCGTCTTTCGGCAAGAGAGGGGAGGTTGGTCATCAAAACGTGGGCATGAATGTGCATTCGTACGTCCCTCAGATAGATAACTGGACTGATCCGAACCGAGCGTGCCGTGCAGAGGCACCTGGTCAAATTTCAAACTGTCCATTCTCACAGAGCATTAAAGAGGAAAGTAACTGCTGCATGTACTCAGACAAAGCGGTCCAAAAGAGTAGCTCTGCAGACGGAACCGCATACTCCAGCGCCATTCCAGAGTCATGTTCCGTAGATGGTCCTGAGATCCCGGTGCCGGGTTACTTCAGACTGAGCCAAACTTACGTCAACGGAAAACACCAGGAAAACTACTGCCATGACGCGCCAAGTCCAAACCCAACATTGATGCAATTGAGCCGGGTCACCCCTAAACCGCAGTCCTCCTCTTCCTCCTCGTTGTCGTCAACCTCCAACTTCACAGAAGGAGAAAAGAAAAACGAAGACGCCTTGCAAAAGCAAGAATCTTCAAGGACACCAGTCCCAGCAGATAGTCCGGAGCCCAAATCTGGCTCTGAGGAGAAGCACTGCTCCATGGACGCACCAGTGTCCAGCCCAGAACTGGCGCACAAGGAGGCAAAAGGTGGGTTGGCTACAGTGAAAGCTTTTATCTCGTGGCACCGGCATCATAAAACCAAGTATAAAACACAAACAACCCCAAAGTCGTAATGTTTAATGAGAGTCTTTCTCAGGTTGCGGTAATAGGCAGCAGAATGGTTTTACTGCGCAGCGTGCAGCCAGCCTGCCATTTGTCTGAGACATTTTAATACAAATACCTTTACAGCGCTAACTTGGGAGAAATCGAAAGTCAAATACAAAAGTATTCAGAGTACAAGCAATCCAGTGTGTGAAGTGTATTGTTCTATTTTTCAGGATTTTATCTTTTGCAGCTGTGTAACCAATATAGACAAAGGTTTTTTTGTTTGCTTGTTTTTTGTTTTTTATTATTTTTTTTTAAATAAAGATCCACCTGATAGGGCCTTAAAGATGTGTGCTCCCCTGCTTTCTAGAATCTGAGTTTAATTCTGAGTTCACACCGCTGTGACTGCTTGGTGTGTCTGAACTCTATTAAAAAATAGTGTTATTTCCCAGAGGCCAGCTTTCAGCAGCAGGTGATGTTACATCAAGCTTATTGGTTTTGTGTGAATTTAATCTTTCCAGAATGCAAGACCGACACCCCAACAAGCAGCTGGCTGACGGCGAAGAGTGGCAGAAAGAAGAGATGCCCTTACACCAAGCACCAGACCTTGGAGTTGGAGAAAGAATTCCTGTTCAATATGTATCTGACCCGCGAGCGCCGCCTAGAGATCAGCCGCAGCGTCAACTTGAGCGACAGGCAGGTTAAGATCTGGTTCCAAAACCGCAGGATGAAACTGAAGAAAATGAACAGAGAAAACCGCATCCGAGAGCTGACCTCAAACCTCACCTTTTCGTGAGCGCGCATGTGTGTCCGTCTTGTGCACACTGATGCTTTGTGGCATCGGACATTTCAACCAAACTGTGATTCTAAATGTTATTGTATAAATATTCCACTTGAGTAGCCTAAAGCCTTTTGGTTGCATCGTGTGTATTCTATTTGTTTTCACAGGGTGACACTAACTGTTAAATTATTGGACAATTTTTTTTCTTGGCCAGTGGAAATTATTTTACTTTCCATTTTTTTTATACAATTGTGTATGTTTATGTTGTTTTGTGTAGGCTATAAGTCCTAAATATTTCTATGGCTGGTTGTACGCGTCATAAACAATGTTCATAAATTGCATGTTTGTGGCATGTTACTTGCAATAAATAGATTGTCCTGTATATTCTGGGTCTTTGTGACAGCGGAATATTGGTAAAACAATCCTATAAGTGAGGGTTTGCTTTGTCTTAATTTCATACAACAGCGGCGTCCAGTTTTAAATACTAAATAAAATTTCGCTCAGTAGCCTATTCGAGCTACGTGTGCGTAAAACCATTCGCAGGTTCAGAGCAGAATAACAAACAATAATCTACAAACAGGCTAAACTATGTTACATGAAAGAGCTATGTGACTGAAAAAGCAAAAGCAAAAAATGTGTTAAAAATAATTATTATAAGAGTCTTATAGCGCCTCAGAACATAATTATATTGGCTACTGGGTAGCCTGCTAGGCTCGTGTGAATATTGACACTGATTCAGAACTACTCCAAGGTCATAAATATATCTAAAATTAAAATTATATATTTATCAAAAATATAAGAACTGTGCAGATTTGTGCTACTCCTATATGACACATAAACACAGACGGACTTCTCCAAGTCTCTTTTATTGACGGCGTGATCACACGCACCTCATAAAACATTTATTGATACATAAAGCCATTACTGCTCTCCGTCGAAAGAATACAATAATTTTACTACTGCTGATTCCGGATACAGTTTAAAAACAAACTAAAGAAAATAGCATATCCTTGTCGAATATTAACAATAGAATTAAGCATGCCGGGGACGGAAATGGCTTCTGTTACTTTACAGCATGTTATTACATTTATTTTACGAGGACCTAGTAAGTCTATAAAGCATTTTACAAGCATTCAGTGCATCAAGACAATATTCCGCGAGTCTTCCCAAACATGAAGACCTGGGCCGTGCATGCAGCAGCATGCGAGTTGTGCTTTTTCGAGCAGCAACATAGACCGTGTCCTGTGCGTCATAGGGGAGACGTTGCGTTTTTGTGGTACTTGTTTAGTCCGAGCACTAAAATCTGTAGAGGGTCTTTATTAAAAGTGAAATAAAAGACTAAATCAAACTTGACGAAAAAAATGGGAGCGCGCAAAAGCAGGATTGATTTACTTGCTGTATTGGTAAATATGACCACGTGACCCATGTAACCAATCCCTGTAGATGCAGGCCAGCAAAAATACTATGATTGTTCATAGAGGGACGCTTCCCGTAACAGAGCGAAGCTTATTATATGAGGAGGAAGACATCAAAATGTCGTCCACTGGCGCTCTTGGTAACTGCTATGTGGACTCACTGATAGCGCATGACCCCGAGGACGTGTATGGGCCGCGTTTTATTCCCGCTCCGCACACGGTGACCCCTAGGCCGCCAGGTGCCGCGGGGGACTCGGTGGATTTCTCCTCTTGCAACTTTGCACAAAAGCCCGGTGTGTTCCCGTCGTCTTGGTCCTCTGTCCACACGCCGGGTCTTTACCATCCGTATGTGCATCACCACCAGCCGCACCTCCCCGCTCCGGACAGCAGATATGTCGGCGTCCGCTCCTGGATGGAGCCCGTGTCTAATTCCGTCTCATTTGCAGGATTTCACTCCAACAACCGCCACTACGGGACAAAACCGACGACAACTCCTCCTAAAACCACTGAGAGAGACTCTCTGGACCAGAACACATCTGAATTCCCTCCGTGTGCCGCGTCGGAGAGTCCAGAAAAGACAAGCAAAGAGCACAGTGGAAGCGAGCTTTCCAACCACAGCAGCGAGTCCAAAGACGAGAAACAACAACAACTTGACCCAAGTAAGTGAACGGAATAGCAAGCGCTGATTTACAGCCGTAAGAACTGTATGGGCTGGGTGTGTAAAACTAGAGCTTTTACTAACCTATAAAAGTGTCTGGAACTATACCGCGGCTTGGCGAGGGGAAACCCGCCCTGCAAGGGTTATTGCAGGGGATCCGAAACTTTTTTATGTCACAGGAAGCCGGTCACAGACACAAACCCTGCTACATTCTATGTTTTCTTGGTACATCTAACCGACGGATTGGTCAGTTTTAAGCCTATCTGTTTCAAATGATTAGTTTTACGCATTGATCTAATTACGCACATTAGACTAGGGTCTAATTACGCCTTAAGACAGATTACTTCAAATAGTCAATTCTAAAAATTCGAAGTTTTAGTAACAATTAACCATCATAACATATTCATTTTATATTTTCCTTTTTATAGGCAATCCAGCAGCAAACTGGATCCACGCTCGCTCCACAAGAAAGAAGCGCTGCCCCTACACCAAGTATCAAACTTTGGAGTTGGAAAAGGAGTTTCTCTACAACATGTACTTGACTAGAGACCGCAGATATGAAGTGGCCCGAATACTAAGTTTAACAGAGAGACAGGTGAAAATCTGGTTCCAGAACAGAAGGATGAAAATGAAGAAAATGAATCGAGAGAGGAGCGGAAAAGACATGTTTTGAGTTCTAAAACACAATGGTCATTTGTTTTAAACCTAAACCTGGCATCTGCGGCGGCTTTTAACGTGTTAATGACAGATACTGTGTCTAACATATTGCTGAACATAGGCCTAAGCCAAACACACAGGACTTTGGTTTGAGTGCGTGTCCGTCTAATTTTGACAAAACAACCGAGACTTACTCTGATCTGTAATTATTAAGTACTAAAACTGTTTTGAGGGAGCCCATGTGAAATGTTCTGACGGCTGTAAAGGAATTGAACTTGTACATAAACGTATTAGAGACAAAAAAAAAGCGTTCTCTTTTGCTCTTTTGCCGTTTTTACGCACAAAACTTCAATGGTATTATAATTATTCACCAAATATCTTACAACAATTGTAGGACATTTCTTAATTATTTTTTTTTGCTTGATAAAGGGTAAACATATTTGGATATATAAAAACTTCCTATACGCCCACTATTACTACTTAGTATTTTAATTTAGTTATTTATTATTTGTATACAGTTACGTACAAGTATTAAAGGAGAGATGGACGTGTCACTGGGTCGGTTGTCGACTTACACCTTTAGAATCGTGTTCTTTATGTGAAAAGTACAGGAATAGAGTTATAAAGTTTTTATTGTTGGGAGAAGTGAGAATTTCCAATGTATTGTCTAAGCTGTAGGAAGAATGACTTTAGAACAGGAAGAAACTTGGTCCAATAAAGCCATAGAAACGGCTAGACGTCTGGCCTTAATGACTTTATGAGCCTGGCCAGCAATTACGCTCTGCTTTCAAAGAGTCTTTTTCGAGCTGTTGCTGACAAACAGAATGTGGACAGTTTTTCCACAGGGGAGTCTGGTCCGCATTCGTTTAGAAGATCAACTAGCCCCCAATCGAAATGATCACGTTTATTGTCCAACTTCACGTCCCACTGACAGAGAAAACAGGGAGAGACTACTTTAATTCCGAGACAATTGAAAGATGTGAATTTGGTGTTTTACGCACAGAAAGGACAGATAATATTCTTATAATATTTTCTATCAATAACAATAAAAATACTGTACTTCCATGAAATTGTAAATACAAATAGGTGAACCTAAATTCAGTCTTTAGGTAGTAAAATTAAAATGCCAGTCTGATGTTCCCCGTCTAGTCCCAGAGGTCAGGGAGCAAAACTCGGGCGCTAGAGGGAGACATTGGTCTTCCATGTCTCATCGACAGCTACGCACAAGACAAAACAACAGTTAGCGTTGGGCATTCTTATTAATTATTCTGCCAGGATTTGTGCAAGATGTGTTTCTGAAGCTGCGTTTGAGTATAAAAAATGCAAAAATATGAGTCTGTAAAGTCTGATATTGCATTTCAGAACTAATTTATTGGAGCATATAAATAGTGGAAAATGTCAATATTTCTCTTGCGTCAAAGCTTTAAAACATGCTCATGATGTTTCAGCATTTTGCAACCCTTCATTATACTTCCTATGACCTAAATAAATAACTAATAGTGATTTCAAATGTATTCATAGAATCGAGATTAGTGTTCATATCAAAAATAGAACTGCGTGCTTTGGGCTGTATTTTGAATATTTGAAGAAGGAATCAATGCGTGCCTGAGGAAATCTAAAAAGTTGGTTGTCATGAGGTCTGACATTAATATAGTATGGACGCTATAAGCCAGAGGTGCTTCAGTACACTGCAAACAGTGGAACCATAAAGAAATATGTTGATGGATTGTTGGCGCGTTGACCTGCACGCTTTGATCCGTGGGCTGTGACCGCTTATGCGACCACCGCGGCCTGCTGACTGCGAGGTGACTGTCACGGCACAAGATATGGACCTATGTGATGACACCCTTCAGCTCACTTCTCTGAAAATAGATGGCCCCACAATTACACAGTGTCAACAGGCGTTGAAGACATGCATCTTTGAAAAGAGAAAATGTGTTTTTTTCCACATTGGAGCTAGCAGTGCCCTTGGTTGTTTCCGACCTATATGCTCTTGGTCATGTGGTCTCTTTTTTCAAAGAGCAATAGTGACATTAACGGTCCCATGTCTCATATCCATTGCTGCACATCTAAACAAGCTGTATAGTAACCGTGCGCAAAATTGTACATTTACGCACAGGTAATTTGGGTCTATTTTAAACAACATCCATACCAAAAAAGAAATCGTCGAAGGCAAAACATTAGAATTACAGTAGGTATATATTCATATACGTTGTGTATAGTATATTTTTGTTATATGGATATTTGGATATCTGAAACCAGTTGAGCTTTTCTGGCTCTTGGTCGCTATTTTTCTATTTTCTTTTCTTGTTTTCTTTGTTGCTGGCAGAGCCTCGTGCAAACAGAAAGCCAATAAATAGGGCTACAATAATTGCATAATTGTACATCATTGTACAAACATGTCTTTACTGCACTAGAACATGCTTGTGCACGTTATAATAACTCACAAAACAAGCACTATTTACAAATTGCTATGAGTCAATCTTATATCCGTACAAGACTTGTTGTACCAATTGTGTTCGTGAGATTTCGTGAGAGAGGCCGTGTAGGCCTAACACTGTCACGTGAAGATAATACAATAAAAAAAAAAAACTCAATAGAAATAATTAATAATACTTTAATAAACCAAAAATATGTCTCCAAAAGTAAGCTACTTGAAAAAACATAAAATGCTAAACTAAAATAAAACATGATCCTTGCAAATATTCCTGTTACAGTTATTGGAATTGTTCATTTGACACAAAGAACAGGCTAAGTCCATGTTATGCATATAGACTATTTTTAGACTTATAGATGAAGAGTAAAAAATAGGAACTGGGGTATTGGGAAAATAAGGCCATATCTAATATCGATTTCTTCACAAAATGTTGATTCATGGGTGGCGCATTACTTTTCGAGGTATAATTTCAGTCAAATATCTTACAGTTTACGGCCTGCGTTTGTAAAATGCGAATGCGCATCTGGTCTCACTGGCCCAGGCACTGTTTTGTGTTGGATCAAACCCGGATCTTTTTCATAACACACACACACACACACACTCACACACACACACTCACACACACAAAAAGAACACAGACGGTTAGGTCCAGGCTGGCTATAAATCGCAGTGCGCTGACTGCGGCATGTCCTGCAAATGAACACAATGAAATGAAAGAGATTCCTTTTTCCTGCACTAATATTCACACAGTCGGGCCCTGCACATGTCTGTAAATGTCAACCACTACGTAAACATGTTTGAAAATGAAATAGGTACCTGAGAACTACTGCACTACTTTGAAACATTGTTTGGTATAAGACATGGGTTTATCTGAAACACTATTTAAAGGATAGACCTACTGAAATGCATATAGGCTCGGGCCAGTGTTAAGACAATGCGTGATTTTTCGACCTTAAAATCTTTCTATTAAAAGCAAAAAAGGCCCTTATTATAATCTATTGCGTGATTTGTCAATTATGCCTAATTTCGTTTGTGCAAAAATTTAAACAACACAAAATATCATTCAAATAGGCCTTTATAGTAGGCAACTGTAGCCTACTTACAGGATAACATCTGTCTAATCTGATCCATTTGATGCGACTGCGCATTAAAGATAGTGCAGGGTTGCTTTTTCGCAGCGGACATGGAGGGGTCTGAGCTGCTCTGCGTTGAGAAGGGGGGAATTGCTGCAGTCTAAATTCCTTTTTGTGCGAGGACAATTTACAACTGGGTTATAGCGCTTTTTATGGGCCTCCATCGCCTGTCATTGGGTACCACTGGTCATGTGTGAGAGCAAACGTCTTCATGGCTCTTTCCTGATTTCCCAGGCCATTTTCCCACTGCATACTGCGTCTATGGCGCTTAAAGCTTTTACGCACGGTCTGTTTTTCTCCAAATATGTCAGCGCCTTGGTTATAAAAGTCTGCCCAGTCGACAGTTGCCTTTGCGCAGTGCAATGGACATTTTGGACCGCAACAGGACTTTTTTAAATATTCGATCTGCTGCAGCGGCGCCTCTTCGAAGCGCCATCATCAAAGATCAAAGAATAAACATGGATTATCCATCGGCTAAATGTGAGTATTTTGTGAGATAACAGCTCATTCACGCCTGTGTGCGCGAGTGAGGACTGTGACAGCTTCCTGTTTCATTAGTCATGTTAATTAGCATCAGGCTAAGCGCTCTGGTTCTGTATGGAGTCCATGCACACGATAGATTATCAAGGGAGAAGCGTTGCTGTAATTTTCTGATTGACCAAGACAAACACTGTTAAACGTTTCGTAAGAATTCTGCTATGGTTTGCAACAACTAATCTTTTGAAATGGTCGTGGTTGAACAGTTAAAGCTTTGAGTCGTGCTGTAGAATATTTTATATTTAACGAATTTGTGTACATTTCGTTCTACTCATGTGGCAACCTTACTAACATTTTCTGCACTATATAATATGTGGAGCAAATTAATTTATTTGTGGAGTAAATGGATTTATTTGCTCACTTTTATATTAAAATATAAGATTAAAATGTCTGATAATAATATTAATGGTCAAACGCAGGTTTTACCAAAGTCCCTTTAAGCTTTCCATTTATTTACAGAAAAAGTAGAATTCTGTTCTGAGTCGCTTGAACATGAGGTCAACTGAACAAAGACAGTATTTCACTGTTGCCTGACAGGCAGCTGCGAAAGTATTTACAGCCTACTGCAATGCGGCAAAATGGATACTGAAAAACAGGCGCACACAGCAGGCTTGGGCTCTCTGCGTTAATCGCTGTAGTGTTCAGTATAATCCTTATACTCACAATCCAAACAACCTATACAATACATTATGTGAGAATAATGCTTATATAAGAAATATCCACAGGCCTAACCCAATCCCGCCAATCCCGCAAATGCTACAGAGGCTGCTCCGTCACAAAAGGCTTCAGACAAACTGAATATTTTGCTTATTTTTGTTTTTTCAGAATGCAAACATTTTCATCTATTCTTATCTATTAGAGCGTGTTTCATTGTATGGCACATTGTGTATCTTGTGGTGCACTGAATATACCTCTATGCCGATGCATTTTGTACATTATGTATCTTAGGCCTTAGACTCAGAGCTTGAACGTGTTCTATGTTGTTGATCCTTAATCACTCACATCAATTAAGCCTAAAATGTTCCGGTTGAAATAACCCAGGGTTCTTGTGCTAGGAAATTCCAGCAGAAGGCGCTCTTGTCCAGCACAAGATCTCATTCAGGCACTGAACGCAGCCAGTGCAGCTGTGTACCGAGACATCATCATTGGTTATGGTTCAGATCACGTGACATGTTTGGCATTTAAACGGCTTTTGGGAGATTTTGTCTGGATGAGCATTTGTTTGGAACAAATAGGCAAATTGAGATCAAAGAAAAATTAAGTTGGGAAATATCAAGAATTATTGTGTTGAAATGGTGCTTAATTGTCTCACCCGTTAAGTAACGGGAATTGTCAGTGGGAGGGGCCACAGAACAAAATGGGTTGTCATTAGTTAGGAAGTGTCAACTGTCGTGGTGTCAAGAAAAACAAAAAGAAAACCGACTAAAATGCATTTTTAGAAATGTATTATATCATAAGGTATTTCTAACAAGAAATAATAAAACCATTAATGGGCCAAAAATGGACAAATTACAGCACACGGTCACTAGCCTAATTAAGTTTACATATTTTAGGCCCATTACTTATTAGAAGGAACAGAAAGTAACATTGTAATTTTAGTTTATGAAATAATGGCATTGAGTATTTTAATTGATCCAAGTAGCTTATGTAACTACAATATATATGTTATGAAAAAGATGTATGCATATCTGGGATTTCAAGTTGCAGTATTAGCCTCCTTTTTCCGCTTTTTTCCTTGTTGCACATCAGCGTAATCGTCTTATTGAGTAAGTGCAACTTTCAGGGTTATTTATGGATCTGTGCGCTCATGTGAATGGCTGCGCGGAAACACGTGACACCATTAAAGTTTGTTTTATGGCCTGGGACTTGACAAGCCAAAATATAATTCTCATTGTGTATTAGTAAAGCGTGCAGATGGGCAGAAATAGTTCACCCATTGGTACGGAGCTCTACCGGATTAACTTGGAGTTAATACGTGCTGCCGCCATGTGTCCAACTCTCTGTGGTAAGACGCGTTTTATCTTTTTTTCTGATGCTGTTGTGGGCGTATGATGTCACGGCTCGACTGTTTCCTGACTCTCAAACGGCAACAGGACGCACAAGTGCTGCGAGACAAGCTGTTGCTGCTGTATGGATTTGAATTATTTTATCAATTGTTCGCGTAAACTTTTAGAACAGTCAGAAAGTGAGCTTTGGCTTCGTATTGCATTCGGTCTTTGCTTGATTGAGTTACACGTGTGGTGAGAGAGTTCATGTTGTATAACCTGCGGACACTGTCCACTGAAAAATTATTTTAGCTTTATAATGCTTTGCTTTCATCGTAATGCACATATTGTATCAATGTATTGATTTACTACTTGCTATTAATTTGTTTTCAATCAAATATTGTATTTTTTACAGCTTGTTAATGCTAAACAAAAATTTCACTGCAGGCCTTAGCAAATAAATTAAGTCTTTTTGAACCGTTGTTTGTTGCCTGAAACACGTAATATAGTTAAGGTAAATCTTTTATGTTTGGGCTTTTTATCTGCGCAAACTGATATGAAGTGTGCGTAAAAGCGAAACAACCTATTGCTTATTTCTCATTTTCAGAACAGTATTTCCAAATGAAGGACAATTGTAATTGAAATTGAAAGGAGTCAAGCTGGAGCAGTTGGCCTCTCATTTAAGTGAACCGTGGATGGGGAAACGCTGACTTTATCATTCTTTTGTTTGTGAATCTTGGCTTTGACCCGTCTGAAGGATGAGGTGAAAGCCAGGTCACACTGTCGCACTCTGAAAATCAGCAACATTTTCATAGTTATAGTTCTATAACTGTGAAAAGCTATATATATATATATATATATATATGTATATATATGTGTGTGTATATATATATATATATATATATATATATATATATATATATATATATATATATATATATATATATATATATATATATATATATCGCAGAGTAGTTGTCGTTGCTGACGGAGTTAAAATGTTAAAAATGTATGCATTGTTTGCATTGTTTGGATGTTAGTTCATTAGAGTTTCTAAAATGAATGAAAATACATCACACGTGTTTAGTGGCATTTGGTATGGTAGGCCTAAATAAGATTCAGTTTAAAAGTAACTTACACAACAATGAGATCCCGTCAAACAGTTGTGCGTAACGCAGTGAGGTCTAGGCCTGTGTAATCATTAAGCGGGCCTGTGTGTGGCGGCTACTGAATGACTCCCATTTCAACTAAATCCAGTGAACAGTTAGAACAGCTCGTGGCTATCAGTCCATTAACACGATATCATCAAATAAGCTATCATTCAAACTTATTTGTGGCTTCATTTGGAGTCTTAAGATTTTTTTCTAAAATATGATACATATATAGGTCAATACCTACATATTTACCAATTTAAGAATCACATGTTTTTTATTTATTCTTTTAAGCCGAGTTGATTTTCAAGTGTTCCCTGTTTCATGCAAAGCTTTATTTGACGCATAAAAGCGCCTGCTTTAGAGATCCGTGTGGCGCTGGTTAAACGCTTACGAGAATCTGCTTTACTTTAGCACCCTTTGAGCTGTCAGTGGCACGAAAAATAATTAAACTTTTGGATCACTTTGTAAATGGTTTTGCTTGACCTCGGTGGCCTATCGCCTCTGCGTTTAGACAGCATGTAACTAATACGCATAGACATCATCTTAGTAACCCATGATGGAGAAAACTGGATTTGGTTGTGCTTTTGTGATGTTTTTTTTTTCCACACCTGTAATATTAGCTTTTTCGTGCTATTGGGGAGGGTCTTTAAAACAGACAAGTTGGTATAAAGTTCAGTCGTAAACTTCAGTTGACCCCTGCAGCATGCTCTCTTCTCTTTCCAGTATCCATATCATTTTGAGCATTTTGAGCACAGCGGCCTTTGGGGCAAACTTCTTGTGTCTTTTTTATAAGATTGACATGCGTTTAACAGAATTGTTGTTGGTTTGTTTGTCATAAGTCACAAGACAGAGACCAATTCCCAGTGCGTAAAACTTGACCAGACAGAGCAGTAATTATGTGACGCATATGGTTTCCTTAAGAAACCATTTTTGGCTTAAAATTGCTTGGGCCATTGCCGTCGTCTATATATACCCTGTAGAACCGAATTTGTGTGATAAAAGTACAGTCACAGATTCGATTCTAGGGGAGTATGTGGTCGATGAACAAACGTCGATTTATTGACTTGCTGCAATCTTTTTTGGGCTCGTTGAGTGTTTGACGTGTTGTCAGGTGATCCAGTGACACAGTGAAGTCCAGAAATAGAACAGGATCTTACAGGACAGAGCACATTTGAGACTTTAGGCTACAGAATGGAACTTTATCTGTGTGGTAACGTGACCTAAAATGTTTCACTTGATAATTATCAGTGTGGAAAAGGGGTGGACTGAGAATAACACAGCACACATTTGAGCAGTTTGTGTTTTATTGCTCTGTGGCTCGCGGTGGCTCTTCATTATTGATTCCCTGGGCTGGCTGCGCCCCTGCCTCTGGCCAATGGACTCCAGAGACGCAGCAGTCAAAGGGAAGGCAGCAGATGAAGTGATGGGATTCGAGTAACTTTTGGATGACCCCTGTCCCGACAAAGACACTGTCCATCAATTGTCCGCAGTCGTTCTTTTGTGCTTTTATGCCGAGGGGCTATAGTAACCTTTGTTGGAACCTGCACTGCCTCCAAGAAAACTCACACAAACTGTTTTTTCCCCTCAAATGTATAAACCTGTACTTTGTTTTACCCAACTTTAATCAACTTTTATTGTGCGAAGTTGAAGACATTACCTAAAATATTATGTCTGAGGCAAAATCTACAAACTCTGCCTGACTCACCGCAGAATTGTGGTAAGACTTTGTAATCTACACGCCTTTTTAATTCCGCTCCTCTTTCCAGGTCTAATTTGGGAGTAGGTTACGTTGGATTCAATTGCTTGTAGTTGTGTGTTTACCCGTTTATCAGCTTGCATCACCTCCATTGGCCGATTTGGTCACATGGTTCGCTAACTTTATTCAGTTGACACGAAAGTAGGAGGGCTTTATGGAGGGAGGAAAAAAAGACAACTCGAGAAAAATTAGTATTTTCTATCTTCAGAAATTAATGGCCATGAGTTCGTATATGGTGAACTCTAAGTATGTGGATCCGAAATTTCCTCCATGTGAGGAATATTCCCAAAATAACTATATACCTGAGCAGGGCGCGGAGTACTACAGCCCGGCGCAGGACACTGACTTTGAGCATCCAGGGATCTACCCACGGTCCAACTTCACGGAGCAGTCCTTCGGCTGCAACACGGTTCAGGAGCCCACGGTGCCGCCACGGGGTCATGTGCACGACAGGACGCAGAGCCACTCGGATCCCTTCAGCACACACGGGGAACAGGGGCCCACGGTTCAAGCGACCGGAGACAGGACGTGTGGCCAGCAGCAGAACACAAAGAGCCACAACGGGCAGCAGGGCAAGCAGCCAGCAGTGGTTTACCCCTGGATGAAGAAAGTGCATGTAACGACTGGTAAGACGCGCTCGTATCATTCACTCTGATATTTATAGCAGTGTTTGAAAGGCCTCACCAATTACACAAGTCATAAATTTTTATGGCTGAGGAAATAGGCTGCGAGGTGAGCCCCTCAAAGCCGCTGAAAAGTCAGAATGACCGCTTGATATTGTGCCCACAACTGCTTTATTTCGTTTCTCATTGCTAGGCTTTTCCAGTTGTGAAACTGACTCAACTTATGTCAGGACGCGCCTCGTGTTGTCCTGTTGTTGTGTGCTGTGTTCGCATTTGGTGACACTCTGTGTGTTTGTTTCTTGCCAGTGAACCCAGATTACACGGGGTCCGAGCCTAAACGGTCCAGAACAGCTTACACGCGGCAGCAGGTCTTGGAGCTAGAGAAAGAGTTCCACTTTAATAGGTACCTGACCCGGCGGCGAAGGATTGAGATCGCGCATACACTTTGTCTATCCGAAAGGCAAATCAAAATCTGGTTCCAGAACCGACGCATGAAATGGAAGAAGGACCACAAACTGCCCAACACCAAGGGCAGATCTGCCTCTGCAGTGGGCAACCATCTGCACAAGGAGCCCCATACGGACATCACCACGTTATAAGAAATACACAGGAGTGGACTGTACGGAAAAGACAAGGCTGCATTCTGACCTCTGCATGGAACTGCTATGATTTTTTTTTTTTTTTTTTTAAGATTTATTTAAAACAACCTAAGCAGTGTTTCTGACTTTCATCTTGCTAAAGAAACAATCAGTAAAGTTTCAAATACATCAGCACAAAGGTATAAAACTATATTTTAAACGTTTAAATTAACATTTCCGTAATTTGTATGGACAAATTTTTTTCACCTCACGTGGATTTACGTTGCTTTGAACCTCCAATGGTCTTTTAGGCAAAAAGATGACACCATTCATATAATTACGCACACATAATAAAAGCTGTTTTTTTTCCAAACATAATGCACAAAATGCCTGAATCTATACTTGAACGAATTTTACATATAGAGCACGCCAAACCGTTTGCATTTTTAGAGATGCTAGGCCTACAGAATGCTATAGAATAGGTCACTTTCTTTATTGGTTTTAACTTATTTTATAGAAAGGCTTTGGCTTTCTCTTAGCCTAAATGTGATCAAGGCTAAATCCAGACATTCCTGTGTGCAAACTATTCCGAGTGCCCTTATAAATCTCTCCTGACACCTTTGTAAACAATGTACATTTTCAGAGCTTCTCTCGTGCCAACTGAAACTCTTTATAAAAGATCTTTTGTTATTTGCATGGCATAAAATTGATATTGGATGTTTCTCATCGGAAAGAATGAAACAGAGTATTTAGGAACATAATTATTTTTTTTCTTTACATGAGTTATTATTTATTTGTTTAAAATTTGTACATTTTACTATAGCAAACATACAATTTTAAATAAAAGTATTCGTTGAACTGCTTATGAATTGGTGTGCGTTTATAGCATGATATAGATTTTTAGTTGATTTGAGAATGTGGGCCGGGGGGTAAACAGAACTCGTTTCTTATCATTTTGGGCAAAAAAAAGTGTTCAACCAGCTCTGAGAGCGTTTTTGTGACTTGTAGACAAGGTATTTCAAGCCAAAAGTGGACAAAGCAACGCGGCCAGGTTCATCCAGAGGCCACCATGAGCCGCAAGGACTGACCTCCAGCCCCTGACCCGCGGACAGAGCGCATAACTGCTACAGCTTTAAAGCATATCGCAGAATGGACCAGATTATCCGCAGTAACCGTTACAATTGTGCGCATTTGCAACAAGCGACAAAAAGTCGAGGCGTGCGCAAATGCCTGTGCACCTTAGAGCCATTTTTATTTTCTGTAAATGCTTCCTTATGTTCTGCATTGCATTGTGCGTTTTTTTTTTTTTACTGAGTTTACAAACACTTTAAACGTGCGCAAATGTTTTCATTGTTTTTTATTTATTATTATAATTATTGTTATAATTATTTTTACAGACCAAATTTGTTTCAGTATTTTACAACATAGTTAACCATATTGAATTTCAATTGGAAAAAAATAATGATCGTGCGGCCATTTGGCCTTTTGCAAAGATTCACTATTGTGCCAAATTTGCCACTTTCACATTTTCTTCACCTATGTAATAAACATTTTGCTACAGAATGCAATCTAGTCCTATGTTTATTATGAAGCACTATGAAAAACATCATAATAACACGGTGTGTTTATATTTTTGGTGTTAATTAGAAGAAAGCTGCATTTGGTGCGTAAAAGTAGCTTTAAGCATTTACTACTTCAAATTCTACAAACGTCTTGCGTAAAAGTAGTACGGGACATTGGATTATGTGAGATTATGTGAATTAGAGTGACAAAGTCTCAGAATTAAGTCGTCAGAGTGAAACACAATGTTGACAGGCACAACTGAACTGAACTAAGACGCTCCAAAAAGTGTTCTTTGTGCCAGACGCTCAGGGATCATTTCAAAGCACTTGACAACTTTGATTTCGGGCGTTAGCTCAATGATCACCTTCGGCCTTTGCCTAATGCCTATACCGCCGATACATAACTGACTCCACTGGACTTAATACAGAACTTGGACAGATATGTGTGCGCGTGTGTGCGCGCGTGCCATGTGCATGGGAAGTGATGCTGCCATTGATGAGGATCTCATAGATGCTGAGGAGAGGAGAACAGGGGGTGATGGCAAAATGAGAAATAAATAATATTCTTACTGTACTATAATAAAGAACATTGTTACTCTATTAATAATACAAGAGTACTGCAGTGGACCAAAGACAAATAAAAAAACTAACTTTTATTAATGTCATTGTTGAATATTTTTTGTATTGTTCATCATACTTATGAATTAAGGTTTGCATGGAAACGTTGTCTCCTTCATTATACGTCAGGTCAGAGCAGCCCTCTACGTGTAGTGTGTAGCCACGCTGACCTACATGTCTGAACAGCAATAAATGGAAGCCAAAGGCAGTGCCATTTTCAATGACACTGCAGCCAGAGCTGGAATACGACGTGCTGCTCTCCATCCGGCCATATTTGATTTCCAGCTGTTTTCGCAGAAGCCTCTCGGATCCAGTCAAGCCCCTGAGATATAAGCATCAACAGATACAAGCCAGAGACTATACCACCAGACTCTCTATTCTCGACCACGTGATTGTCTAAATAATTAATGCAGCACGTCCCCCTAGAAACACGGCGTCGTCATTAATCGAGGACTCTATCAGACTTGAAAACTGAAGAGATCCCCCAAGAAAATAATATCCGATAGCCGGCGCAAGTGTAACCTTCTCTGTAGCAGCACATCCGAAGCGACGGATGCTTTGGTACGTACAAATTTCTGAATTTTTCATGTTGCCTGAGCAGCTAGATGACGATATCAAATGTCGTGATATTTGATAAATTGCTGCCTTTGATGTGTGCGCGCGGAAATTTCTTCGGGCTATGGATAGTACCGCTTTACGCACGGAGTTTTTCCTCTTGTTCTCTATAAAGACGCCGTTAAAGCTGAATTTCAACACTTTGGTATAGTTCATTTATAATGTTTGTATCGCGTATACTTGTGGTTGCATGCTCTTCAGCGATACCTTGACAATGGCTTTGTGCACAAATGTAGCGATCACATTGAACAGACTACTGAATTTGAGACATTTTGAACACATTGTTTGGCGAATACCTAACGTTGGTTAAGATGCCTTTGGCTTAGACCGCTTCTCGTGCCCCCTTCACAGGACTGTTTTTATTGTTGGTGGCTGATGTGAATTTGATGCCTGAAAGTGGTACAAGTTTGTGCGGTCTGACAGATCTAGCTCCTTGTAAATCATTGGCAGTAATTCCTGAAAGGGTGCAGTGCTGTTGGGGGCCGGCCGAAAACTGTAAATCTTTCACTTTTATTGCCCTCTGAACATATGCCGCGCCGATTCAAGCCGTGCATCCCTCTTCGCAGTCAGCAGTGGCGGTGCGCTCCAAATCCTCCTCTTGTAGCACAAATGGATTTATTTTCTAATTCATTCATGAACACTACATCTATCCCCATTTCTGCGTGAATGATGCAGAAAGGAGCACGAGGCAAGCCTTGGCTCCACTCTTTGTGTGTAAAGACAGACACAGCAAACAAAAGATGATAATGTGGTTTATTTGAATACAATCCAGGCACAGATGGAAAGAACTCCCACGCCATTTATTAAAAAAAAAAAAAGTAAAGTCTTAAATTGTGACGCAAAATGCAACATGGGGATATCAAATATAAATAACAAACAACTTTGGTAAAATATGCTATTGTATAAAAATAATATTGCTTTCAAAAACAGTTCTACAGTGTAATGTGTTCACAGACGCTTAAAATTGCTGTAAATGCACGCCTTTCGGTGCACAGAGCGCTATTTGTAAAGCCTGAAGCACGGTTTAAATGTTCGTGTGCATATCAAGAGAAACGAGGAATAGAAGATTTTCACACAGACGAGGAAATAAACACCACCCTTTATCAAAATGGATTGGTGAGGTAAGGCTCGCTTGAAGCAGGGTGAAGGAGAACAATCACGTGAACAAATATGCTTGTGTCTTAAGGCTGTGCCTTGATTTGTCATCATGAAGCTTCCGAAACACCAAAATCCGAACGGTGGCTCCACATCAGCGCAGGCCTATCCCTGACTCAATTCTACACATATCAATTCATGATTGATTGCCAGGATTTTTTTCTGGAATAACGCTACCTTGTTGGCTTTTTATTGGTAGCTGTATGCGAGACCTTCCAATCTTTCGGGAATAGTGTCTCCACTGGTATATGGAAATGTCTGAA